TATGCTGTATTTCCCCCCAGTTTTTCTTCAATGAGCATGGATTCCCTTTACAATAAAACAGCTGTTATTTTGCAAAGTAAGCAAGTGCTGTTTGCTCCGGTCCTTTTTGGGGACTTGAAAGGACCTTCGTTGGTGGCAAAAAGGCTTCCTGGGTTCTAAAGCTGTAGGCTGTTGCCTTTTTGAACACACAGATGGTCGTTTATTACCTTGGCTTCTTCAAATCCGCTCCTGCCTTGATCCTATGGGAAGGGACCACACCTGGGCCATTTTTTGAGCTTGGCGGAAACTTAAAAGGATGTGGGTTTAAGGAGATACAAATTCCAGAATTAAGTACTAATTAAGTTCTTGGACACAAATCACTTCGCACACTCCACTTAGAGGATTTGTTTAATTGACTGAGGAAGTAGTTTGAAGGGGAAGAGCATTTCTTTTCATTAGTGTTCAAATGAAGTGCAAATTATAGAACTCGGACTCCGTATTTCCTAAAGATAGAAGCTTTGGAGAAAGGAAGAAAAATTAGGAACGGAACTTAGTTTAAAATCAGAAACAAATGCAGTTTGGGTAGAAAAGTTTGGGCAATTTTCTACATGGGTAATTTGAGAGCGGCCAGCTAGTGCTGGGTTGGAAATGATTTTTTTCTTTTTATCCCAGAGCTCAGGTCTGCAGCCAGATTTTATGTTGTTTGTTTTATTTCACATTCAGCTTGATTCTTTAATAAAAAATGTCTCTCTGGGCTAAGGAGACAATGCGAATATTTGAACCATGTGTCAGAGGCCTGCAAACCTGCTTTGAGGAATTAGATGCTAAATGAGTAAAGATGGCATCTGCAATTACATGGACTGGGATAAAATTACAAGGGTGATTAATCTGCGGGCTTCGGGGCTTAGGATGACTACCAGGTGAATCTGCAACTAATTTCTCCTGCATATTACATCCCTACATAATTATGGCCAATGCATAACTATAATGTCTATAAGGTCATTATATTAATTTGTTGCCGGGATTGTTTCTTGGGTTCTTAATTGCCTAAATTTTGCCTCTGTGTCTTGGAAATGTTGGCCAGTTTCAACAGTCAGGGTTGGTTCAGTTTCCCGTCAACTCAAGAGAAATAGATGAGTGGCAGCTGTATGCCAGCCTGTGCGGCTCCAGAGATGAGAAGGGCAAGCCTTGATCTCAAGGAGCTCGCAGTCTAGAGCACTAGGTCAGATGTCCAGACTGGCCCACACAGGCTAGGCCAGTCTGCATGAGGTAGGCCAGGTGTCAATCTAAGGCGATCCGTGTCAGTGGGGCAGCAGCCCTTCCTGGTCAAGCTGATTGCTTCCCTGTGGGAAAGAAGGAATTTTCAAGAGGAGCTGGAAAGAGCAGGTTTTTCAATGTGAACTTTCCTGTTTTGGGTTGGATTCCCTAGAAGCAGAACCCAAGATGGGGGCCCACATGAAAGTAATTTAATGGAGAGCATAGTCTGAGGCCGTGGCTCTGAAACTCTGGCATACACGTACACGTGAATCACTGGGATGACATGTTTAAATACATATTGATGGGCGCCAACCCTGGAGTTTCTGATTTGGAGAGTCTCCAGTGGGGCTTGAGATTTGTGCATCTAACAAGTTCCCACAAGATGCTGAGGTTGTTGGTCTGGGGACCACACTTGGCCACTGCTCTCAGGAGAAGGGAAGTAAAGGCAGTAGGACCTGTAGGGTAGGAGCTAATAAGCAAGGACGTGGCCTTGGCTGGCGTCTAGCTTCAGCCTGACCCTACAGGGGGCTCTGGAGCACAAACTGCATCAAACTTGGTCCCACCTTGAGGCGAGGTGGGGAGGTCTTTCGTTCCCCTGCACACCCTTGTATTTGTCAGTCATGGGCCACTGGTCTGTGGTGGAGGTGGGTCGTGGAGGGCAATTCTTTGGAGAACGGGGCAGCCGTGAGCCATTCACATCTGGGAGATGGTCCCTTCCTGGTGAAGGGGGTCTGGGCAGTGCACGGGCAGCATCCACTACATCTCTCAAGTTGGAGAGCTGGGAACAGATTCAGATATTTAAAAAATACAAACACAGAGAAACCAGGCAGAGCCATTAAAACACATCCGTAGGCCAGATTTGGCTAATATGCTGCCTGTTGGTCACTTCTTGGCTGAAGGTTTTTCTGAAACCTTTTTTAAGAAGGCGTGTTCTAAGGGCAACAGAAGCAAACATAAACAAATGGGACTACATCTAACTAAAAAGCTTTTGTACTGTGAAGGAAATCATCAACAAAATGAAAAGGCAACCTACTGAATGGGAGAAGATATTTGCAAATCATACATCCAATAAGCAGTTAATATCCAAAAGATATAAAGAACATATACAGCTTAATATCAAAAAAACAAACTTGATTAAAAAATAGGCAAAGGGCCTGAACAGACCTTAAAGAAGATTTTCATTTGGCCAACAGGCACATGGAAAGATGCTCAGCATCAGTAATCACCAGGGAAACACACATCAAAACCACAATGAGATTCTACCTCATCTGGGTCAGAATGGCTATTATCAAAAAGACAAAAAATGACAAATGTTGCCGAGGATGTGGAGAACACAGAAGCCTTGTAACACTGTTGATGGGAATGTAAATTGGTACAGCCACTGTGGAAAATAGTATGGAGGATCCTCAAAAAATTAAAAATAGAACTACCATACAATCTAGCAACTCCACTTCTGGGTATTTATCTGAAGAAAACAGAAACACTAATTCAAAAAGATATACGCACCCCTGTGTTCTTTGCAGGATTATTTACAATAGCCAGGATTTGGAAGAAACCTATGTCCATCAATACATGAATGCATAAATAAGATGTGATATATACATGTATGTATATATTTATACACAATGGAATATTACTCAGCCATAAAAAAGAATGAATTCTTGCCATTTGTGACAACATGGATGGACCTAGAGGGTATTGTGCTAAGTAAAATAAGTCAGAGAAAGACAAATACTCTATGATTTCACTTATATGTGGAATCTAAAAAACAAACAAATGAAAAAACAAAACAAAACAGAAACTGACTCATAGATACAGGAAACAAACTGCTCATTACCAGAGGGAGGAGGGGTTGGAGGGTGGGTGAAATAGGTGAAGGGATTAAGAGGTACGAACTTCCAGTTATAAGATAAATAAGTCCTGGGTATGTAATGGGCAGCATAGGGAATATAGTCAGTAATATTGTAATAACTTTATATGGTGACAGATGGTAACTAGACTTATTGTGGTGATCATTTTGTAGTGTATATAAATATTGAATCAGTATGATGTACACTTGAAACTAATAGGATATTGTATGTCAATTATACTTCAATAAAAAAAAATTAGGCATATTCTGGAGCTGGTGGGCTTCTTCCAACTCTGACGTTAGCTTCAAGTATTCGCCTTAGGAGCCCGCAGTGAGCTTGGTTCCCCAGAACATTTTCCCTGGCAAAATGCAATGCTTTCCCAACCTGTATTGTATAAATCACAGGAAGGCTGTCTGAAATCTCCCAAACTGGAGTAACCATTATGCAAACTGTCATACATGACTAACCCATTATTACGGCCCCAGAGAAGCTGAGGGACTCCCACCTCATTTCTGGGGGAGCCCATTTCACACCTGAATAGCTCTTATTTAAAAAAGTCAGCCTGATACTCATTACTACAAACTTGCCTTTGCTAAAAGACATCCCACTGCTTCTCGTTAAGCACCTCCCCCCATAACAAAGTCCCTTTCTTGTCATACCGGAAATAATTCTTCCTCCTCTGTGATGCTTACCTCTTTAGTTAATACTATAAAGGAGAGATCAAGGGTGAATAAATAGAATGTGGTTATATTATTTATTATAAGCCTTTTTGGGTTTCCACTTATGGTAATAATGGCAAGTAAAGTTCATTCTGTTTCTAAGGAATCAATTTGCTATTATACGCCAAAAGTCATCATTTGGAAGTCAATGTAATATTGTAGAGGATTTGTTGTTGCAAGTAGAAACAGTGTTAGCAGTGTCCACTCAGTAGCTGCTGATGCCAAAAGGCGCCAGGTAGTGGTAACATCAAGCCGTGACCATGCTGGATTGACGTGTTCACTGAGGGGCCCTGGGGTACACTGAGTGTGCCGTTGTTAGAGACCTCCTGTGCTTGGGGAGTGAGCTCAGCCTTGGACCCGGGCAGTAGTTGGGACCACGTGTGTGTCGGGGGCTGCCTGTGCCGTCCTTCCAAACGTGGGGCTGAGGGTCAGGGGATGGCAGAGCTCACTGCTCTCCATGGAGCCTTCTTTCCCTTTGGGTGCTAAGCTGCATTGTCTGCGTTTATCCTTAGGCGTGGCCTCACTGATCTAGCAACCTGAGCTTCTCAGAGGAAAAGTGGAGGATGGGGAGGTAGATTTTGAACTCTCGTGCTACCCTGCAACCCCGTGACCTTTCACTAGTCCTCCTCCTCTGTGTTTTTGTAGCATTTGGTGCCACCAACTGCACCCTTTCTGTGGCTCCCTTCTCACCTGGCCTCCTCCTCATCTTCTGCCGACACCTTCTTTTACATGATTTCTCGCTCTGCTTTCCCCTCCTGCCCTGTAATTACAGGGATTCCCCCATGATTGTCCCAGTCCTTTCTCCTCTCTCCTCTCATGGCAGTACCACCACCCTAAGGATGACTCCTGCATCTCGTTCTCCTGCCTTGACCTTGCTCCTAAATCCCAGTCCAGCATCAGTAACTCCCTGCTATTATTGCCCCCCAGTGCCCCTCCGGCATACAAAGTCAACAGGTCGCAACCTGAGCACTCCTTTCCTAATTTGCTTCTTCCCCTTTATTTCTAATTTTTGTTAATGATGGCGCCCTCTTCCCACGTACCCAGGAGTAATCTGGGGACTTCCCTGTTTGTAAGTATGGCTAGGTTCTCGCCTGGAAGCACATCTCAGATTGTGTGGCTCTTTCTTCCAAAATCCTCAGAGACTGACTTCTTTAAAAAAATATATTTTTTTTGAGTTTTAAAAATTTTATTGAGTTGAGGGCTGGCCTAGTGACATAGTGGGTGGGTTTATGTGCTCTGCTTCAGCAGCCAAGGGTTCGCAGGTTTGGATCCCAGGTGTGGACCTACACACCACTCATCAAGCCATGCTGTGGTGAGGCTTGGGGAATAGAGAAAGATTAGGACAGATGTTAGCTCAGGGATAATCTTCTTCACCAAAAAAAAAAAAAAAAATTTAGGTGAAATTCACACAACATAGAATAACCAGTTTAAAATGAGCCATTGAGTGACATTTAGTACATTCACAGTGTTGTACAACCATCACCTCTATCTAGTTCCAAAGCCTTTTCATCACCCCAAAAGGAAATCCTGTACCAATTAAGTAGTTTTTCTCCATTCTTCTCTTCCCCTAGCCACTGACAACCACCATTCTGCGTTGTCTTAATGAATTTCCCTATTCTGGATATTTCATATAAATGGAATCGTATGGAATGTGACCTTCTGTGTCTGGCTTTTTTGACTTAATGTAATGTGTTTGCGGTCCCCCCATGTTGTAGCATGTATCAGTACTTTGTTCCTTTTCCTGGCTGAATAATATTCCATTGTATGTATATGACACGATTTGTCTATCCATTCATCCTTTGATGGATATTTAGGCTGGTTCCACCCTTTGGCTATTGTGGATGGTACTGCTATGAGGATGTGTGTACAAGTATTTGTTAGAGCAGAGACTGACTGTTGCTGTACAGCTCAATTTTACAGCTTAAAAAATAGTTCGGTAAAGTTTCAGATAGTAAGTATTTTAGGTTTTATGGGCCGCAGGGTCTCTGTCATAATTACTCAACTCTTCTGTTGTGGCACAAATGTAGCCATGGAAAATATGTAAACAAAAGGGCTTGGCTGTGTTCCAAAAAACTTTATTTATTAAAAAGAGATGATGGGCCGGATTTGGCCCTTGGGCTGTAGTTTTCTGACCTTTGCTGTGGACTAAAATGAAGCCTTTCTCCCTAGAATTCGAGGTCCTTCCTGATTGTGCCACCCTCCTTAACTTTCCCCCACTCTTTACCAATTCTCCCAGTTCAGATGGAACAGGGTAGAGGTGACCACAGGTGGGGAGGGTGGAAAATGGAGCAGTGTGGGTGGAGAAGAAGGAAGTGTGATTTAGTGGGAGTTCAAAGGACAGAGCCAGAAATAACCCTGGGAGGAAACTCTGGCCTCACAGCCCTTGAGGGCTTGAATGCCAGGTGGATAAATTCTTATGAAGTATGTTCGTCTACTGTCCTGCTTTAGGCAAAGCTTGAGCTTCCAAGCTTTCTCAGACTGAGAAAACAGTATGGAGATATTCCCACACCAGTGTTAGAGAAACGCTTATCATTGGAAGCCTTTCACGGAGCCTCTGCAATGTTCTTGGGTTAATCTCATTTTAAAAGACGGAAGGAAAGAAGTTCATTGTCTGGAACATACCCTCTAAAAGAGTTGTAATTCACAGAGCTTGCGGAGAACTGCTCCTGTAGGTGACAGGAAGGCCTCTGGGGACAAATAAAGAAGCATTTATGGGTAAAAATTGAGCTGAGTCCTTCTTGCATGAGCAGAAAGCCATCTGGGTGACACCGACTTTCATGGGTTGTGTGAGCATCTTTGTCCTTGTGCCTCATACAGGCACCTGCCACGTGTGCAGCTTATGTGATTTTGGAAGGAGGGACTTAGGAAGAATAAAATCCCTGGATGAGAAACATGGTTTCCAGAGATCTTTTGTCTGAGAGAATACTCTAGCTAGTATCTTTTTTTTTTTAAGACCCACACTTTGGGGGATATAGGGTTGTACAGATAACTGCCAAGGTGAACTGGGAGTGGTAGAATCAGGGAGCAGAGTTCCAGTCCTGGCTTTCCTGCTGGCTAGACCTGCAGCTTGCAAACTGCTTTACCTCTCTGGACACCCCTGTTTCCCCATCTGGAGAGCGAGAGGTCCCCTACTCTGAGCCCTTTGGCTGTCCATAAAACCATGAGTCTGCTTGTCCCAGCCAGCATGAATCTATGAGACAACACAAGCTGGCCTCCTTCTCAGGACCTGCCTGGCCCACTGCGCGTACACGCGAGTGTCCCCTCTCCAATACCTTGCTCCCAGCTTGTGTGAAAGTCCCACCTTACATCAGCCTGAGGCTGGTGTACATCATCCTGCTAACTGTGCAAAGGTAACATCTCCCTTTTGCCTAGCTCAGGGAAATTTCATTTTCTATCAACAGATCTTTGGATCAGATCCTTGAAGGCTGGCTAGCTGCCTTCTGGGGGACATTCTTTTCTCCCACTGGGTCATATACAGCTATGGGATCACCAAAATCCTTTTCTTCTTTACTTATGAGCCACAGTGAGAACACGTTCCTAGACCCTCCTGTCGTTAGATGTGGGGCTGTACTGAGGTCTGGCCAGTGGAATGTGGGTGACCATGATGTGTATATACCACTTTCAGGCCTGGCCCATAAATCCCTACCACATGTGACTTTTGTTCTCTTCCCTTGTCTGCATAAGGCTCCGAGGCTGCAGGGTTTGGTAGAACCATAGGAGCCTGGGTCCATGAATCTATGTTGGACTGTTGCATGAGTGCAAAGAAAATGTTCATTGTTTTAAGCATTTACATGTCGAGATTATGCTACAGCAGCTAGCCTGTGCTGAGTAGTGCACCTACTATGAGCTTGGGGCTGAGGATGCAGAAGAGAAGGAGATGGTTTTTCCCTTCGGAGATGCCTCCAGTCTGGAGCATGGCTCTTCAGGAGTGTGGCTTGGAGGAGAGGAAGTTCTGGCTGTGGGTAGAAGGATCATCTTCAGCAATGAGGATAAGCCATGTCAGCATGAGAGGAAAGGGCAAATGTGAAGACAGGAGGGGGCCAGGGTAATATATGCTAGCTTCCAGCACCATGACTGAGTCTAGAAATAACCTCTTCTATTTTCTCAACTGAGAGATGAAATTTTTCCACCTGTCGGATCTTGACACTTCCCAATGAACATTTTCTTTGGGAGACAGTGGAAAAAGCTGTACTGAGAACCATGTAATAAGCAGGTGGTGAGTAATTGAAGTGTTTCCAGAGGCGGCCTGAGACATGTGGGCTTATTGTTTGACACCGGCCAGCTCCTGTTGGCTCTTGACTTCTAGGAGACTCACTTGAACTTGATGTTTGTGGGGAGGACGCGGTGAGGATGTCTGTAGACAGTTCAGAGTCGAAGCAGCAGGTCTCAGGCCGACTTCTGGTGAGATTCGATCAAGAGACATCTGTCCTGTGTAAGTTAGACGTTGGCAGCCTTTTGTTGTTCTTTTTCAATTTGGAATCATTTAATGGAGGTTTCGAGGTGATAGCTATAGAGGAGGAAGGTATGTTAGTTAGGACAGACTAACTCATAACAAACAAATTCAAAATTTCATTGTCTTAGTAAAAATGTGTTTCCTTCACCACATCCAATGTGGGTTGACAGAGGAACTGTGTTCCACACAGTCATTCAGGACAAAAGATTTTTCCATCTTGGGGCTCTGCCATCCTCTAGATCCGTGGAATCCTTTCCATTCATTTGGTGGATGGGAAAAGAGACGGTGTAGGATGGTGCAGAGGTGGGAACTTTTTATGGGCCAGGCCTAATTGCTATTATTGTATCTGTCTACATTCCACTGGCCAGAATTCAGTTACATCGCTGCCCCTAACTGCCTAACTGCAAAGGATCCTGGGAAATGTGGTCTCACTCTGTTCCCAGAAATAAGAGGTGATGGGGTAGGTGGCAGTCTCTGCCGTAGAAGGGAAGTCATTTTTAGGAAAAGTTATTTGGGCCTCTTGAAAAGCTGTTGTTCAGGGGTAAGTATAAGGAAAGGCAAATCGTAAAACAAAAGTATCATACTCTTAGCACATTTATTTCCAGAAGAGTCCAAGTGGGACTGTGAGCTAGTGATTGTTTATTCCCTGAGACCTCTGGACGGTTAGGATCTGACTGGGGCTGGGGATGGAGCATCACACCTGTGAACTTGCAAAGCTTGTCCTGGGTTGAAGAGTCATGTTTCAGTGGCCCCCATCTAGGTGATAACTGCTTCCTTCTTTCTCTGGAGACTTGCACAGGTCTTTCAAAGGCCCTGGAGTCCCCAGCTCTCATTATAGAATAATAGTACTGAGGGATTTCTGCCCAAAGGAGACAGCTCATGCCGTTGGGTTGATCTTTAAGACTGAGAGCACACTGGGACGAACCAGCAGAGCAGTTAGCCAGAGAAGTGGCTCTTTGCCTGGCTAAAAGTGGGACAAGGATGTTCCCCAAATGAAGGGTGGTTAGAGGCATTTCCTGAGAGATGGGTTGCCTAACACCCTTGCAGCTTTGAGCCCATTGCTGCTTGGTCACCTTCGTTCGTTTCACGTAGAATCAGTGTTATTGCTCAATCTGCTGCACCCTCACGCTGCGAGTCTCACTTCTACCCAGAATCTGAAAACTTTCAAATTCACCTTTGCTCCAGCTCCTGAGAAATTATTTGTAAGCCTAAATAGAACTGAAAAGCTTTCTGCAGAGCAATTTTCTGAATGTGAAAGGGAGTGACCAAAAAACAAGGAGATGAACTCATAGACTTTAGTTTTAAAAACCGCCAAAACCAGATTGCTGTACATTTGAAGTTTGCCATGCTGACCCATCTCTTATCCCAAGAGAAAGACACTCTTGGGAAGAAACTTATACAAGGGGATTATAGAATCCAGAATTCTTTTTTTTTTCCTAATGATCTTATTAGAGCAATTGCACCCTGGAAACAATATGGTAGAAATCTCCCCATGGAGTTACTTAGACTGAAAATCTGACTGCTTGGAAAGAAAATGGGAACTGTCAGTAGTGTTCAGGTTTGAATTAATCTAAGATTCCTCGGCCAATATTCATATATAAACATGAGTTCTTTAATCAACATACATTTGTATTCATTCTTGATTGTCTCTTCTAGCATAACATTAAATGATTGCATGCTGCAAGAGTGTGTGTTGGTTTTCAGTGGGAGCTACTAGCAAGGAACGTTTAGCATTCGAGATCTATCCAGCAAAGTGAAGTAGAGAATTGAAGCCGTTATTCAGATTATTATTTCTCATTATTATTAATTAACGGTAATAATAGAAGCTGTTGTTTATTGAAGACCTACTCTTTGCCCAGGAGTTTGGCATGTATTATTTCCAACCCTGACAACCGCCTAAACCAAGGCTCAGTTAAGTGCCTTGCCCCAGGTCACCAGCCAGGAAGAGACAAAGCGAGATTCAAAGCAACGACTGTTGGGTCTGAAGGCTTTTCTTGGTTTCTGCATAAAAACATCAGCTTTAGTCACAACCAATAAAATGTGCGCTTTCTAAGTGTACAGTTTGCTTTTTGACAAATGTGCACTCCCCCGTACCCAACACCTGCATCAAATGCTGGAGAACATTTTTGTCACCTGGAAATTTCCCTCCTGCCCCTTTGCATTCCTGCCTCTTACCCAAGCCCCAGGCAACCAATATCCTGATTTTGGTCACTGCAGATGAGATGTGTTTTTTCTAGAATGTCATAGAAATGCAGTCGTGCATATCTACTCTTTTCTGTTTATCTCCTTTGGTTCAGTATCACGTTTTTAGTTTCACCCACGTTGTTCTGTGTATCAGCTCTTTGTTCATCCAAGGCTCCACTGTCAAGCTTTAAACTGACCTCCTGTTCTGTATATATTAGGCGAGAGTTGTTCTCTCTGAGTCTTGGCAGTTCCTGTATGGTGAAGGGTAGGGAAAAGACGTGAAGATCAGATTTGCCGATGGGATTTTGTAGGATCTGAAAAGGGATACCTTGAAGTTCTGTTATCTCGTCTGTGAAATGGGGATGACGATAGACTTGTCTATAGATTTATTGTGAGGACTAAAAGAATGTAAAGATCTGGAACGATACTGAACATGTAGTAAGTACTTAATAGATATGAGCAGTTATTGCGTTCTAGACTGAAGGCATGAGCTCAAGACGGTGGACACTACTTCACAGCAGCAGAGCTGCCCAGAGCCCATTAGTTGAGTGGAACATTATTCTTAAAAATGACTTCCCTTCTTTGGCATTAGATGAGGACACATCCTCAAAAGATGACTTCTGGTGGCCCGTGTGGGCTTATGGTCCAAGGAGATTTTGAAGAGTTGAATGTTACTAACAGCGTGAAGGACTTAAAGATGCTCAACTGGAGACAGAGAAAGTTTGATGGTCAAGACCTCTGGGTTCTGTCTTGAGAAGAAGGTGGGGAGATGTCATCTGCCTGGTCCCTGGAGTGGGACTGTCAGGGACCAGGATTCAGGAACAGAAAAGGAGGCACTTTCAGAACTGGCTGTACCATCCTACAGTTGAGTAGGTGGTCTCTGGAAGATAAAGAGTGGAATGTTCATTTTGGTTCCAGTATTCCATAAAGAAATAAGGAGCCCTTAGCATGAGCCACGTGCTATGTTATGTACTTTCACTGACTACTCTGTCTCTCTCTAATTATCTAGCGAGTAAGCTATCTAGTTATCTAATATCTAGACATTTAGATCTTATTTTATAGTTAAAAAAAGGTTTTAAGGTATAATTTATAAACTGTAAAATACATAGACCTTAAAAGTATGGTTCAATAAGCTTTGACAAATGCATACCCTCCTGTAAAATGTACAACCTTATCAAGATACAGAATATTTCCATCACCCCAGAAAGTTCCCTTGTGCTCGTTTGCACTCAGTCCACCTCCTCCCAAGCAACAATTAATCTCATTTCTCTCAGATATGTTTTGTCTATTCTAGAACATCATGGAATAGAATCATACAGTGTGCACTGTTTTGTGTCCAGCTTCTGGGGAGAACATGGAAGCCCTTGTTAAGTGCTGAATGCATGCTGGGCACTGTGCTAGTGACATTTGTATTGATTATTTCATTGAATCTTCACAAAAACCTTGCAAAGTGTGTGTTATTGCGCCAGTATTGCTGATGAGGATGCTGACGTTCAAAGAAATTAAATAACTTGTCCACGGTCGCAGATGAAAAGTGGCAGAGGCTGAATTCAAATTTGGATCTGTTGGCTACACAGGCTTGGCTGTTTCTGTAATACAACCCAGTTTTTTCTCAGTCTTGGTGCACTGCATTTCACATTATATTATGTTGTATTGCAAACTGAAGCACCTTCTCAAAAGATAAAAAGTCCCACTGATCACAGTCTGAAAACTGGAGCATGGTGGGTTGTGGAGCACATTTTCCCTTGGTTATTCCTAATTTACATCTCACTGCTGACTATTTTCTTGTTTTGCATGAATTATTTATTACTTAATGATAGATTGTTCACATTACAATACTATTTCAGAGCAGAGGCCTGAGTCTATGGAGTGTGGCCATGTTGAAATTTGAAATCTATTTGCCTAATGGCACTCTCTGTGTTGAGGCACATTTTCTCTTTTCTTTCCTTCCTCCTTCCTCCTCTCCCATCCTCCTCTCCCATCCTCCCCTCCCGTCCTCCTCCCCATCCTCTTCCCGCTTCCTCCTCTCCCATCCTCCTTCCCCCTCCTCCTACCTCATCCTCCTCTCCTCACCTCCTCTTCCATCTTTCTCTCCCTTCTTCCTCCCCATCTTCACCTCCCATCCTTTCCCTTTTCATTCTCCCTCCTTTGTTCTTGCTGTCTTCACTTGACCTCTCTCTCTGCCTCTCTCGTATCTTTTCCTCCCTCCTTCTCTCACTGTCTCTTTCTCTTGCCCTTGTTCTTATTCTCACTCCTCTCTTGTGCTCCTGCTCCTTCCCCTTTTCTCTCTTTTACTCTTTTTATTTCCTAAGATAAAGCAGCCTCCAAAAATCTGAGCTGTTGAGAGACGTGGTGCTGTGGAAAGGCCATCGGGCCTTCCAGAAGCCCTGATGTTTTGCACCCACCGTGCCACACTCCAGCTGTGCACAGGGCAGGGCACTGAAATCTCTGCACACCATTGCTTCTCTGCAAAACGTATGTAATCGTTTCCTTTTTGCCTGGTGCTTTGTTCATTTGTTCACGCAACAGATATTTACTAAATGCTTGCTGTGTATCAGACACTGGGTTAGGCACTGAGTGGGGAACAGAAGAGACTTGGTTTCTGACATTTACGTCCTAGAAGGGAGGAAAAGAATAAGCAGATAACCATGCAGTTAATTATGAGAGTCCTATAACTAGCTCTTCAACTCTCTGCCATTATCACACTCATGTTGCCCAAGCACGAGGCCTAGTTCCTGACTCAGAACTTGATGGCCCAGGGCCTTCACAACCACTTTTCAAAAAAGGTTTTAACTTTTTACTCTGAATAGTTTAAGATGCACAGCAAGTTGCAAAAATAGTATAGAGAGTTCCCTGTACCCTTTATCCAGCTTCCCCCAAGATAATGTCGTACGTAACCACAGTACATTGTCAAAACCTGGAGAGTGACTAACTCCTGGGTAGACCTCATTCAGACTTCCCCACTTTTCCCATGCACTGTTTCCTCCTCCTCCTCCTCCTCCTCTTCTTTCTGGCATATCGTTCTGTGAATGTTGTCGTGTGTGTAGATTCAAGTGATCATCCCCTCACACTCAGGAAGCAGAACTGTCACATTAGCACAAAGAAATTCCCTCGTGTTACTTCCTGCTTAATAGCCACACTTTCCCCCACCCCTAGCCTGTGGCAGCTACTCATCTGTTCTCCATCACTGTAATTTAGTCATTTCAAGAATGTTACATAAATGGAATCAGACAGTATGTAACCTTTTGAGATTGGCCTTTTTCCCTCCGCGTAATGCCCTGGAGAGCCATCAAAGTTGTGGTGTGTATCAATACTTTGTTCTGTCATCACTTTTAAGAAAAAAGAATCAGGCATAGGACACTTGAGGAAGAAACTCCTTTGTGAAAATACTTTGTGTTCAAGGCTAACCTTTACTAGCTTCTGTTCCCCTCAGAGACCTGGAACAATTAATCTATTTGAGTCTGATTAGCAAGTTGGCAAGTTGGTAGATTATTATTTTTATTATCTGATTTGTAAATGTTTTCCTACTGTTATAACTAAGTTTTTCATGGGCCCTAGGTTTGGCTTTGTGTATTTGAGAAACTCCCTCCAACTATGAAGTGTTCCTTATATGTGTTAGGTTAGCGCCAGGTGCTGTAACAAAAATCCCCAAACTTCTAGTAGCTTCACACTGTGCAATTTTCTCTCTCTCTCCAGAAACAGGCTATGTGTGACTGCCTTGTCTTTAAAGTGCTTTGCCTCATAGGTTGATTTGGAGACCTAGGTCCCTTCTGTTTTGTACCTCTGCCGGCTCTTAGGACCTCAGAGTCCCCTAGATCCAGCCATCAGATGGGGCAGAGCATGGAGGAGCATCAGATGTTTGCGTGGATCATGTCCAACAGTGGTGTCATACATGACTTTCACTCCCATTTCATTGGCTTGAATGCATCCCTGTGACTGAACTCAGCTGTGAGGCAGTGGAATGCAAGTGGGTAGAAGGATGGGAAGGTGTGGTTCCTGGTGGCAGCCACGTCCCAGGGGCAGGACTATACCATGGAAGTGGAAAACCACAGTCCTTTGGTGTATGGCTAGCTGTCTCTGCCTCCATCCCCAGTTAGAGTCCCCATTTCAGGTTACAGTATCAATAGCAGTATAATGGGTGGGGATCCAAGAGTTCAAGATTTGCCTCTTCTTGTTCAACCAAGTCATTTCCCCTGTCTGCTTTTCAGTTTTCTTATCTACACATAGTGAGTTAAGTTAGATAATTCTAAAGCTTCCTCTCTAACATTTAACGATTTTATATTGTGCTCAATTTATTGGTCTCAGACACGTTGAAAAATCTCTCTGAGATCTCGGCTGAAGGGAGATTCAGTAAATCTGGGCCAGTCTATTAAGCCAACCTCATATTTACCATCACCTGCTCATCTCTAACCTAGAGGC